TTTCTCAAATTCCAACAAAGTCAAATGAAATAGCAATATATGGTGAACATGAAATCAAAATATTAGGTGATTTTTATAGAAGTTCTAAATATCAGAATGAGCAAGTTTTTCCTGCAAAGATTAATAAGACTGGACTTATTTAAGAATGGCATGAGGCAAAATTGCTTTTAAAAAATTATCAAGAGTTTAATTTTATAGATGGATGGAAACAGATTTTTGCCAATTCTCAATTTTTAATACTTTATCCAAATTTAAGCAAAGTAGTTAATTATTCATTAATTGTGTCACTTTCAAATGGTAATGTGGAAAAAGTTTTTTCTTAACAAAATCTTATTAAAACAAAAGTACGCAATCAAATGAAACTTAAAGCTCTAAATTCTCATCTTATGATTGTTATGAACGGGCCTGAGCTTAAAGATTTTGATTTTGAAAGGGCATTTGATGTTTGGCAAAGGTTTCCAAGATGCATTTAATAAATAAATTTGTAAAATTTTTAGCTTGAATTTAATAAAATTTAGGAATAATAAATATAAATGCAATTTTTTTTATTTTAGTTTTTTATTATGCCGTAAGTAATTTATAATCAACGCAACCTTGTGATTAAATTTGAATGCGCAACATACAACTAAAATTAATAGTCCGCATCTAAGCCACTTTTTTAGTTGCGGATCCGCAACTAAAAAAAATTTGAATTTTAGATACTGGTTCCTGATTTTATCCAACAAGCTTCAAATCTAAATAGAAATGAAAGCAGTGAAATCAAAAGCGATTTAATCGATTTTCAGACTCTAAATGAAAAACAAAAAAGGTTCTCACCTGAATTGAAACACATTATAACAGTATCATTGAGGGAAATCAGGTTGAGGCATTAAGGATTATAATTATGGGAACTGCAGGTACAGGTAAGTCATATCTCATCAAGGCAATATGACAGCGGCTTTGATTAATGTCAGAAAATCAATCTGAAATACCTGTTCTAGTAATCGCTTCTACAGGGTGGCAGTATATAATATTAACGGCTTAATGATCCACTTAACACTATCCATACCAATCAACAACAATTGCTTTGATCTCGATAATAAAAGGCTAAAACAATTACAAGAAAGATTAGAAAATATAATTTACCTGATTATTGACGAAAAAAGTATAGTTAGACGACGAATGCTTGAGTTAATAGATGTGAGGCTGCGACAGGCATTTCCTGATCAATTGAACAAACCATACGAAAGATGATCTATCATAATGTTTAGAGATTTCAAGCAGCTTCCACTAGTACTTGACCTTCCTATGTTCTCCAACGATACATCCTGAGATACTAATTCTAACAACGGTAAAGCATCATATAAATATTTGTTAGAAGTTTACAAGCTCAATATAGTTCAGAGGCAATTAGGAAAATCTGAAGAACAAAAGAAATTTTGAGACTTACTACTAAGATTACGTGAAGAAGAAAGCATCCTCGACGATTAGAACCTACTCAGAACTCAGTTTGAAGAAAGATTAAGTAAAACAGAGAAGGATAGATTTGCAGACGCAATATTCATCCTAACAACATGGGCTGAGGTTGATATAATAAACGTAAAGTCACTCAGATCAATAAATATACCAGTAGCTAAGATCATGGCAGTGCATACCGGTGGTGATGAGGCTAAAAGAGCAACTTCAGACGTCGCAAAGGGTCTCGAAGGCCAATTATTATTGGCGAAAGGGTCTCGTGTCATGCTAACAGCAAATATATGGACCAAAGGAGGGTTAGTTAATGGAGTAATGAAAATAGTATATAATATTCTATATGAAAATTAGGGTCCATTTTCACTTTCCGTAGCAGTTTTTATTAAATTTGATACATATGAAGAACCTAGCATAACAACGTCAGAAGGGGACAAAGTTATTCTGATAGTACCAATCAAACAAACCTGAAAAAGCAAATCTGGAGTGATATGCTCTAGACTTTAGGTTCCACTTTGTTTAGCGTGGGCTATTACGGTCCACAAGAGTCAGGGGTTTATGCTAGCAAAAGCAAAAATAGATATTAGAAGTAAAGAATTCGCAGCAGGTCTCTTGTTTGTCATGATTTGCGAGTTCGCTCACACAGTGACATATACCTCAAGCAGTTCACTTTTGAATGTCTTCAACACATAAAAAACAGTAAAAAACTACACGAAAGAAAGGAAGAGGAAGTGCGTTTACTCTCTCAGGTACTTTGATAGCAAATTTGGGCTTTTATTTTTAGTATACAATTATTCTGTAAAAATAAACAAAGAAAAGCGAGACATGCATTTTTTCAGTGTGAATAAATGTTTTATTTGTTAATTAATTAATTAATATATTGCTTTTTTGGGATCAGTGCTACAAATTATACAATTTAACATTTGCGTAACAATTACAAACCAACCCACCAATCACCATCGACCTGAACAGTGAGCGAATGGACAACGGGACATTCTGTATCACCGTACGTAGTATATATAGTCCTTCGCTTCACTCTGGACTAATAAAGATTAAGATTTGCCTTTTAAAACTTTTATTAAAAAGATCTTTTAATTATAAATAATTCTACAAAGTATTTCACCTTTATTGAATATAAGATAATAATAGACAAACCTTTATATAATAAATAATGAAAATTTGAATTATAATACAATAAAATAAATAATAGGTAAATATAATAAAAATGTAAAAAATAATGTAGTAACTTAATATCAGTAATTTATATACCTTCTGTTGAACTATTTCTATTTTCTTGTAATGTAAAAAATCTTTCATAAAATTACTAAAATTAGAATCAAACTTTTTTCAATTGTTTTGGTAAGTTTTAACTTATGTATCTAATACAATGTACATAAAAAGCATCAGAAAATTGTACTATAATTACTTAATCGCAAGATTATTATCAGTTACTAAAACTTTTAGTTATATACTGGTTGCTTCTATATTGATTAACTCATTATATGAAAGTTGTATTTCATCATTCAAAATTACCTGAACTATGATTTATATCTTTAAATTATTATTTAAAGTGATAATAGATAATAATTATAACAGTTAATTTTACAAGTATTATTATGCATAATAACATGAAATTTCTTTTAATAATCCTATATATTATTCACTTAGTATTGCTTTATGACGAAATTTATTAATGATGTTATAAAGATTTAACTAATATATTTTTGTTTTGACTTTTCTCAATTTTATATTGTTGCATTTACTTTATATAAACGTTAAAATTAAAATTAAATATATATATATAATAGAAATTATCAGGTTATAATTGAGAAATACGAAACAATACTGCGCCAAAGTACATCAAATCAGCTTTTTTAACATTAAAATGGAGTCCCGTAACTTTTTTTTTTTTAAAAAAAAGAAAGTTAAACAGAGCGTCAAAATTCCCTCCGACACGATTTTTTTTTTTAAAAACCCCCTTTTTTTTAGGAAAACTTAACGCAAAATAAAAAAGTATTTTGACTTCGGATTTAACAAATTTTTGATGAAAATCCAATAAATTACTACGGCTAACTTAACCATATCGGGAATTTTAGAGGTATTGAAAATTCGGGAATTTAACTTATCAATTGCTACAATTCTAAACTTTTATGGATAAGAAGGATTAGTCAAATGATTAAGATCATTCGCTGAAATTTATTTGGTCGTGCCAAATTGAAACCCTGAAAAACTAAATGTAAAAAATTGAAAGCCGGCTTTAATTATGAGATTGGCGTAGTTATATCACAACTAAACTGATTTATATAAATACGATGATTATCCATAAAAATAAGTTGATCAATTTTTTTTAATTTTATCTCGTAAAAAAAAAAAAAATGTCAGATACAGGTAAATAATCACTTTTAATTTTTAATTTCGATTTTATAATATCAAATAATTTATCATATCTTGTATTATATTTTTATTTTATATAAGTGCTTTCAACATTAGATCGTCTTAAAATTGCATTTTCAAATCTTGAAAATATTTCGCCACATAAAATACGTTCACCATTATCTCAACCTCGTAGAGCGAGTATAGCAATGATAATTCGTATTAGACCTAAAAATTCATCGTATGAACATGATAAACTTGAATCCTCTGAATCTTCTTCAAATATATCTTCGCAAATTGAAGATAATAATAATAATGACAACGATTCAATAACAGATTTAGAAGATTTTTGGAAAATGGAGTGGGTAAAAAATGGTGAACCAGAAATCTTTTACATTAAAAGGGCTTTAAGGGAAGGTGATCGATGGAGCGGTCAAATGGCTTTCCCTGGCGGTAAGCAAGATACTGATGATGTTGATGATTTAGATACAGCTGAAAGAGAGACATTCGAGGAGGGTAAAGTAATATTATGAATTTCTTTATTATAATCATATTGATTTTCATCATCCGTGATCACCATCTAAAATCCAACATATTCATTCATCTTTTATTATTAGTTGGTTTAGATCTTGGTAATCATAAATTATTTATGTGTATTGGAGCGTTGGATGACAGAGAGATAACTTCAACTTTTGGAAAAAATTTATTAATGGTTCTTTGTCCCTTTGGTAAACTTTTCTTTTGGTTTAGTTTTTTATTTCCGAAATAGTTATATATTCATCTTGAATTTTTTTTTTCTTTTTTTTTTTTCTTTTAGTTTTTTTACAACTCACAAAAGAATCTCCGCCAATTGAGATTTCTGGATCTGAAGTTGCATCAACACATTGGGTACCGCTATCAATCTTCTTTAATTCCGAGATTACGCAAAAATGGGAACCGGAATCGATAGATTTATCTTCAAAGTTGGCGCCGAAATCTTGGATATTACAAAATATATTCAAGACGCTTATAGGAAGAATGCATTTTCATTGCATTGGATTGCCTCATGTTGATGTAGATGGAGTTACTACGAGAATGTTAAGGTTATGGGGGTTAACATTACAAATGACGAGCGATTTAATAGATATGATGTATCGACAAACCGAAGAACCGCCAAGAAGACTAGATGCTAAAAGACCAAAATTTGATTATTGGGATGTGAATTTTTTTGTATGGTATTTTTTAAGACATAATCGTAAAAATTATAAAAGACAAATATCAGAATTAAAAACACGAAGGTATAAGTTTAATTTATTTTCTTTAAACGTATATGTTATATATTTATCGTAACTAAATAACCATTTAAATTGATTGTAGAATAATTTGGGCAGGAGGTTGGCGTGAATATTTTATGGCAGTACAAAAATCTTGTATCATAGCTACTATTATTAGAACTTTAATTGCTTTATTATTAATTAGAAAATTACCAAGTATAATTATTATTATTAAGAAAATTTTATAATTTCTAATTGAACTTTATTTATTTAATCGTTACCATATATTCTACTATAGGAAAAAAGGACACGTTTCAAATATTTAATAGGAACTTACGAACTACACAAAATCTAGTTTCTACCATAATAGTATTTTTTTTTGCGTTTTCTCTATAATTTATAACTAAATAGTTGGGCAGAAAAAAATTTATCATTAGCAAGGGGGATAAATGTTCACATCTTTCAATATTCCTATGGTGCCGGGAAATCTACATATATATCGTCAGAAAATTTTTCACCCCGATATTTGTCACGCCCGCGTTTGGTGATGAAAAAAAATATTTTTTTCATCACTGCTTATATATCATCGATCACATGGGTGAAAATTTACTTCGAAGTACCGATTTCACGTGAAATGTTCGCCCAATAAAATCCGAGAATGTTCGTAATACAGACTTTTGAAGTATAGTTTCATTCATAGACCAATAACAAATCAGATCCTTCCTCAAATTTTCTTGTTTTAATCCGTCATCCGAATATCCGAGCCCGATAGAGGATAATTATCCATGAACGATAACCGGATTCGGATATTCGGATGACGGATCCGATAAAAATCAACGAAAATAATTCTGTTTCTAGTAAACTTCCTTACACAGAACGTAAAGAATGTAATCCATTCTCATTCTCTTGAACTCAAAGGTGAAGTCCCTGTCTTAGAAACACGTGTTTTAACATTTAGTATGCGAATATGATCTACGGTCTTATAAATCATATGATCAACCTATTCAACATTTTGAACCATTCATGTCATATGTATTGTTCTATTGTATTAAATAAAAAAATTTGCGCGTCAATCAATCTATTGGTATTGTTTAAATGTGTAACACTTCCGGGCATTGATTCATAATGTAATTATAAAGCAGACAAATGTGTCTGCTGGTTGTCGGTCAGTTTAAGATAGTTTGTGACTTTTTTAAATTGTTACTCCTAGGATTTGTCGCAAATAACTTACAGGCAGATATGCACTTATCTTGATTTTTTTTATCTCGCAACTCTCTAGTAATATAGGAGTAATATAGGCTTTCAGTCTCATGATTGTATGTACCTATGTTAATTAATCAGATAAATCCTACATTTTGTGATACGAATCATTCGAAAAAGTACATGTAAGCTAGCCGCAGTAAAAGTTAATGTCCAAGATTTTTTATTGAAAGGAAAAAAAAAATTTAAATTAAATTACCGAGTTTTAAATTTTTAAAAATAAAATTAACTCTTTGAATCTATAAACATGATATTCGCAAAGGTGTAATGAAAAATGCATTAATATTGAAAAAAAAAAAAAAAAAAAAAAAAAAAACGTTCGTGATATTTTCTATCTTACTAACATTATTATTATTGATTTAGATTTGTATTTACAACCCCTATAACTTATAGGATTATCGAAAATTTTTTATTACTAAAAGAGGAAAAAAAAAAAAAATTGGGTAATGAAATCATGCAGATTTGATAAGTAAATCCTTTTTTTTAAAAAAAAAAATCATAATCTATTATATCCTCTCTGCCACGTATAATCTGTACGCAATGTCAAAAATATATAAATCTCTCTCTGCTTAAAATGAATGTTGAAACTATTCCACTTGAATTAAAAGAATCACTAATTAATTAATTAAAATCTATTCCTATTTCCAATAAATTTATACCACCTTGATATTCTTTTCATTATCTGTAACCCATAATTCCCAAGCCATAGCATAACCTTTTTCTAGATTCGCCACAATTCTTTGAGTATCAAAAAGTCTCATATTATCGCGATTGAGAAAGATTTTTTTCCTCAATTCGACAAGTTCACCAAATCCACTTCGATGAACTTGCGGAGGCATAAAATGTGGATTTGGTTGCCAGTAATTATATCTCACCGACCTAGCTAGTTCGATTGCCCTTCGTTCATAGTCAGCGTGATCTTTGGCAATCATTTTGTCACCAAACCCAGTGGATTTACATATTGAAGCTGCAACTCTTGAACACCATTTATGATCATTTCCACAAAGCGTCAATATCGGAGTTCCCGACCACAAGATATCGCATGCTGTTGTGTGCGCATTTACTTGTGGTGTGTCTAAAACCAGGTCAGCAACTCTTCCACGAAGAATATGATCGTGTTTCCCTGCTATTTCTGTAAAATGAATGCGGCTTGCAACTCCTACACCAGCCCATTGCACAGCAGTATTATACAAATTTTTGGCACCATCCGCAGGAAATTTTAATAACCATAAGATAGAGTTAGGCACCTGTTCAAGTATTTCTAGCCATACCTTGAATATGACCGGGTCAATCTACAAAGGGAAGCAAATTCATTATTAGTATCCACAAAACATTATACTTATCGTCGCGTACAATATAGAAGTTGATGGCGTCAATAGGGCAAATGAAACTCACTTTGTATAATTGATTAAAGTTGGCAAAGATCACCCAATCATCGGGGATATTTGGGAATAGTTGCTGACGCATCTTCCAACGTTTGTCCTCTTCGAGAGTCCATTGAATATCTAAACGAGTTGCAAAGACAGTGCCTCTTATATGCAGATCATCACGAAACCCTTGCTTATGGTCATTGACAAAGTAGGTATCCGGAAGACTAAGGGTTTTTTCTGGATATACCCAAATATTATCATCATCATCTTCGGGATCTAATTCTTCACAAATATCACCTACGTGATGCTTAACTTTACGTTTATACGCCTCTTCGTTTGTTAACATTGATGGAACAATCATATCATCTACAATGTTATAATCGGTCCACAGGCCACCCATAGTACCAGCAAATCCCATATGTTGCATTTGAATAGGTGCAGGTCGAGCAGCAAAAATATGATTGCGGTCCCCTGCTGTATATCCATTCAAGTTGAGTAAAATATGGATGCCATCCTGAATGATCTGATCACATATGTCTTTGGTGGAGCTTCCGCTACAATCTCTAAAATGATCGCAGCCAGCTACTATTTTTGCCCTATATAAAGATCCATCATCAGGGTTTAACGCGTAAACGTAAACCTCGAAATGCTGTCGGTTGTGCAACTCGAAAACTGACTGCATTAAATGAGCAAGTGGGTGATCTTTGAGATCAAATGATACATAACCAACCTTAATTCTTGGAGATGGTGGCGGTGGTGGTGGGAACACGGTTTCCGGAAGCCAATTTGCGGTAAATGCATCATATGCAATGTGCAGTGCCTGTCGATGACTGACCAATCTTATTTGCTTAGGGCTGAGGTCATAAGTAAACGTATACCATGGCTGTACAGGACTAGGGGAAGGTTGTGGTAAACCGGGTGGCACCTTTGGACGAAGGTACTTATCACCATATTTTACATTTTTGCAGATTGCTGGTTGTGGACTAGTTGCAATAACTTGATTTCCATAGAATTCAAGATACCAACGACGTTGAACGCGACGCGTTAACTTATTAATAAGTCGTAATATAAATCCACCTTCATTCTTTAGGCTTGGTGGATTCTTTGTGGCGACTATCAGATCGGCCCTTGCTTTTAACCATTTATAGCACGTATCATCAGTATTAAGTCCAACGCAAAGGGAATTGAATAGCTTATGTAGCCCGCCAAACCGCTGGATAACCCCATCCCCAAATTTTGCCCCTTCTTTTATAAAGTTATCAACAACGTCGGATACCTTTCCCATCATTCCTACTTTCTTAGGAATATTGGAGAACATCAAAGTATTGCCTTGATCTACATAGAAAACTCCAACACCACCACGTTTTGACCAATCACAAACCGAGTTGAGCGCTTGTGAATAAAATGTCAAAGCATCAGTGTTGTCTGAATTAATGGTATATGCCGTTTCAAATAACTTTAAAGCTTCTTCCCATCTTCCTTCGCTTCTACATTTTTCTCCAGTAACGTTACACCCCAAAACATATCTTCTCGTTATTTCATCATCGTGAGGCTTATTTCGTCCATATATCTTTTGATAAATAAAAGTAGCCTCGATCAAATTGTTTTGTCGCCAGTAAATATCTGCCATTGCCATGTAAATGTCTGGATTATTTTGGTCAAGTAAAACAGCCTTGTATAAAAATTTTAACGCTAAATTTGGTCCATCAAGAATTTCTTGACCCATTGTCACCGAATCAGATATTTTAGTTAATACTTCTGCAAGCAAAAGAAATGCCTCGGTGGTTGGATACGCTGCAATGGACATATATAACAAAAGTAGTGATATCGACCGCATTGGTGTCGCATTTAAAAATTTTGAGCACTTCACTGGATCTGTTTCAAATGCCTTGGCAATTTCAAAGAATGCAGAAGCGGCATCCTTTTGTGCAAACTCGCGCTCGTTAAAATTAATGATGAAAGTATGACCAGGTAAATATCCATGGGCAAATGGAAATAGGTAAAGTAGTAAACCTGTAAGGACGAAATCGGGATCCATAAAGTAACTTGGAATTGGTGAATTTACAAAAGAGTGAGGTTGTAAACCGTTCAACAAAGTTACGGTTTGTTGAACATTTACGTAATTTTGTATACAATAACCATAAAAGTTACAACATCCTAGTATATGATCTATCAAGTCTATAAATTGAATATGATTTGCACAAGCAATCACGATAATATTTATGAGATCCTCAATATAATCTTCATATCTACTAAGATATTGTTTAACTAGCGCTCGCCGTCGATAAAGTGTTTGTATTTGATTTAATTCGGTATTGGGTATAGTATGCTTTATCGTGTCTAACCTGCTGATCACGGAATCCAACACTTCCAATGCTTCATTATGATAATTACAATTTGGATTCATGAACGCTGTGATAACGGAATCAATCCACATCCAATCTGTAGGTTTATGTAATACCGATTTTTTTGCGTGGATTATGGCTTGTGAATAATTTCCAACCGACCAGTATGCCTTTGCCAATTCGACCATCGCTTCTGCATTATCGGATTGTAACTTCAATATTTCCAAATTTGAGCCGATCAGATCTTGCATATTTTCCCGAATCACTGTGGTA